GGCGAGGGGCTAGGGAGCAGGCTGCCTCGATTGGCTTCTCAAGCCTCCACTCTTAACAGCTACTTCTCTGAGCTTTGAAAAGTGGAGATGGGTTGGGTGTAACTTAATGGTGGAGGGAATGCTTAGCACTGCACAAAGCCCCAGTTTAATCCCCAGCACTCGCAAAAAAAAAAAAATGGTGGAGATGGTCACATGGATGCTACTCACAGACTTGGTGACAGAATTAAATAAGTCACATGTGAGCAGCACGGTGTTCAGCAGGAAATAAGGTCCAGTGTTCATGGACCTTATTTCCATGCCAGGTGGAGGCAGAGTTTTCTCATTATCTTGGGCTCAGGGAAGCCCTGATGGAAGCCCTGCTGTTATTGAATCACAAGGGGCAGCCCTCAGGTGACAACCTTAAGAACCTAAGAAAAAGGGTGGGAACAGATAGAAGTAGAAAGAAAACAGTGAGGAGCCAGGTGCCAGTGGCTCACGCCTGTAATTCTAGCTACTCAGGAGGCAGAGATCAGGAGGATCGCAGTTCAAAGAGAGCCTGGGCAAATCATTCTGCAAGACCCTATCTCGAAAAACCCTTCACAAAAATAGGGCTGGTGGAGTGGCTCAAAGTGAAGGCTCTGAGTTCAAGCCCCAGTACTGCAAACAAGAAAATGGTGAGGATCCTGGGTGCAGCTGCTATTTAGAGGTACCAGCACTTTCCAGGCTTCCATTCCAGCTCCAAGGAAGGCAGCCCAGGCTGATAAGAGTCATCAGGAGCTGATATAGCTCAAGTCCCCCTGGCAGGTTGGTGTTATCACACCCATTTCCAAGACAAAGAGCCTTTGGAAGATCTCTCTGGCACCTCTGGCACAGAGATAGGGACACTCTCATCTGACTTGCTGAAAGTAATCTCTCCCAGTTTCAGAGCCAGCTCTGTCCCCATGTGGGCCCCTTCATTAACTCCTCCCAAGGGACTCTCACTGGGTACCTGCCTTTTGTATCTCCAGGCTTTTTACTTTAACCCCGCCCACAGCTCTCCTCATTTGGGCCCCACTGGTGAATGCCTAACATGACTTTGAAGTCATCCTGTTTTCCCTCTGCCCCCCACTCCCCCAAACCATGCCTTGCCCATCCCCTACTTTCTAAAGCTCATCAGCTTTGAAGGTGTTGTGAGTGGGGCTGTTGATAACAAGAAGCCCTAATGGTGTCCTTCAAAGCCAATGACAGAGGACACTGTCTGCAATTTGCAAGAAGGAAATGTGGGTTTCTTTAAGTAAAAGAGTTGGAAAGGGTGGTAAATTGAGAATCAAAAGGGATTTAATTTCTAGAAAAAAAATGCAAAAAGTTGGATTTTTTTTCCTAACTGAGCCAGAACTCAAATACATTTGCTGCATGCTGACATGCATAAAGGCAAATACTTTATTATTTTTATTTTTTTACATTTCTGACTTTTTTTTTTATTATTGTCTAGGTATATGTCCTGGATATGTGCCCCTGGGAAACTTTTGTTCTTATGGTCATCAAACATTTCTAACAAAGTCATGGAAAGCAAAAAGAATGGGAAGGCCCAAATGTACATCATCAGAGTGTGTGACACCCTGACAATGAAACATGACACAATGCTGAACACCATCTGTATCTTCAGGACTGAGCTCAAAAACATCAGGTTGAGCAAAAGAATTTGTAATAAAAAACTGCCAGGTGTGGTGGTGGTGCATGCCTGTGATTCTAGCACTTGGGAGTTATGGCAGGGGGATCATGAGTTCAAGGCCAGCCTAGACTACACAGTGAGGCCTTATCTCAAAAAAAAAAAAAACCTGTAGCCAAAAATTACCAATTTATGATGACATTTATATAAAGCTCAAAGAAGTATTCAAAAATCATAAAGAAAAATCATAAATAAACATGAAGTTGAGAATAGTTGACCCTCTTGCGATCAGAAAACTTAATTTATTTTAGCAACACAGTTTGTTTTCCAAGAGTTCTAAAGTCAGAAGTCATACACAGAGAACTTCGATGGAATTGCTAATGTTCCATTTCTAAGGTGGAGGTGGGCATTTTGACATTTATGTATACTTCATGTGGTCTCTAGGATTTGGGGGGTATGAGAGTAATCAAACCCAGAGGCTTGTGCATGTAAAGTATATCCTTACCACTACAGACCCTTACCTGCAGACCCTCAGCCCCCTCTGTGTCTGTTATGGGAAGAAATCATCCCCTAGATCCCTGGAGGGCCTTCCACACTCATCTGACATCTCACCTGGAAGGGCAGACGGGAGGAGGCTCATCCCATCCTCAATTTGCTATCTGGCTAGAGACCCTTCTTCATAGACATGACACTTTCTCAGGTGACCAGTGGTGTTATATATAAACCACAGATAGAATCTGCCTACTTACCAACTCCAGGCTGTGAAGTGCCAGCCCAGGCAAATAGTTTGCGAGACCCCATCTCAAAAAAACCCTTCACAAAGAAAGGGCTGACGCTCAGCTCAAGGTGTAGGGCCTGAGTTCAAGCCCCAGTGCTGCAAAAAGAAAATCAGCATAGGCCACTGTCCATTCACTTTCCTTCAATCCTGATACTCCGCAGTATGCTTCCAGGTGTGACATTCTGATAGCCTTCCTCACTCATTTCCCCTCCCTGTACACCTGCAAGGTGAGGTGCCTTTGACATACGCCATGCCACTGCAATACAATTACTCACCAAGCTTACTGCAAGTGAGAAATAACTAGATCCCTGTAGCAAGGTAAATACTCCTGTGCTGACTGTAGGCAAATGTGAACCCTTGGCCTGTAACAAAGCCTCAGGGGCCATGGAAACAGGGAGGACATCTAGCAGCCTTTGTGTGAATTCTGGAAAAAGGATTTGAGGGCATCTCTACTAATCATTAATATTTGAGCTACACTGAGGTCGAAGTGCTGGCGCTGAGAATTCTGTGTGAAGGAAGACCTCCAAGCCTCTTGCAGAGCAGCAGCAGTCTGACATCATGTTCTGCATTTGATTTCTTTCTAGATTCACAGGTTCTGGCCAGATAGCTGTTGTAAGAGCCCTGTTGTTCTAACTTTATCTCTCTAATGTTTCAATGTAAAATAAAAAAAAAAAAGATTATTTGGAGCCCTTTCAGGGCCACGCCTTAGAATTGCTCTGAAAATAAGACCTGTCAAGTGTCTGATTTTTTAGTTTTCATAAGGCTTGGAAGATGCTGGCTGTTGACTTAGCTGCTGAGTCATGGGGCTGGGGATATTGGTTTTACCCAGCCAAAAAAAAGTCAGGGTGTTGCTGGTGAAATCACAAATTCTGATTGCAAAATTCATAACATTCTTTAATGAACTATTTTACAGTTTTGTTGCTTCTTTCCTGAATTTAATCCCCTAGAATCTTGCTTCTTACTCAATGGAAAGCTAATGCCACAGACTCAAAGGCCTTGGCTTTTACCCAGTGCCATGGAAAACTAGCAGGAGCTCCAAGGAGCAAGAATGCTGGCAGTTAAGAAAGGCAGTTTTTTTGTAGCTGACCAGAAGATATAATAACCTAATTCAAGAAAGTATTTGAACCTCTCTGTGCAAGGTTATATGCAAAATGTGGAGATGTTTAGTTCTCAGACTTACCGACCAGGAGGCATGCTGAGAAAATATAAAAAGTAACTATTAACGGGAAATAAATGATCATCTCAACCCTCCCTTGTGTGTTTTGCAGAGCTGAATTGTGTTGTTCAGGCTTTGTAGCCCAGGCTGGCCTCAAACTCGCAATCCAGAACTCATTTTTAGTGGCTATCAATTCTAATTTGTGTGTGTGTGTGGCAGTACTGAGGTTTGAATTCATATGCACTCTACCACTTGAGCCACTCCACCGGCCCTATTTTTGTGAAGGGTTTTTCGAGAAAGGGTCTTACAAAGTATTTGCCCAGGCTGGTTTGGAACCATGATGCTCCTGATCTCCGCCTTCTGAGAAGCTAGAATTACAGGCGTGAGCGACCGGCGCCCAGCTCTTCCTGCTTTTTTCACTTGCCTGACCACTATGGAATATTACCTGTTTTGACTTTTGAGAAATCCCTGGAGCCTGCGTAAAATTTCCAACCTAAATCATGTGTAATGATTCACAAGAATCCAAGCAGGAGTCTTGATCAAACGATCCAGGCCTCTGGGTGGGGGAAAGGAGGAATATAAAATCTTTCAAATGCAACATTAATTAGGGCTAGAGATGAATTGTCTTTGGGGAGGCACATGGGGATGTCTCTGCACGCAGGCAAAGCTCAGTATCACATAGGAGCTGGAGGGTGTGGCTCCGTGTACTGCTTTTGGTTAGGATGTACAGGGCTCTGGGTTCAATCCCAGCACAAAATAAAGGTTTTCGGTAACATTAAAGAGGAAATTAACCTTCCTTTGGCTACCTTGGCTTTAGACTCACATCTGACCGCTATAGCAAGGATTAAAAAGTCACCTTGGCGAACCGCTCCAAGAGCCAGGCGCGGCCGGCGCAGTGCGCAAGCGCACATGGCCGGTGGCCCCCCCCACGCGGGAGTGGGGCCGACGCGCTGCCGCTCAACGTCTCCACGCCGCCGGGGTCTCCAGCACCTCGTGGCCTAGCGGGGACGACGGGAGGGCTGGGCCCTAAGGTCGTCACCAAGGTCGTGGGCCGTACGTGCGGCGCCGGAGCGACGCCGAGTGCGTGCGGGACTCGGAGTACGTGACGAAGCCCGGAGCTCTCATGCCCGCCGTGGCGCCCCGCCTTCTCTCCGGGGCCTCGGCTCCGCAGACCCTCCGCTTGACCCAGGGGTCCCAATGGCAGGTCCGCCAGCACCCTGACACAATGGCTGGGGAATCCGGACCTTGCAGACCCACTCTCCCAACATCCCCTGGTCGTCGCCCCCACTCATTTCAGGCCAAAGCGGCCGCAGTCCGGCTCCACAAGGGGAGGCGAGGGCCCGAGCGACGGCGCGCGGGGCCAATGGCAAGGCGGCGTGGAGGGGGCGGGTCCAGAAGGCGGGAAGTGGGCGGAGCCTGTCGAGCTGGGCAGGAAGTCGGGGCGGGGGCACGGAGAACAGCTCGGGGTCTTGGGGCGCCTACGTCTTTCTGCCTAAAGCTCGCTTTGGTGTCTGCAGCACCCTCTCCTTTTTTCCTGGGCAACGAGATCCAGCAGCCAGGTAGGAGCTGCAGAGCAGGGGCGCGGGGGAGCGCGGGGGGTGGGTTCCAGGGTTTTGGGCCCCTTCCCCTCGGAGACGGCGAGCCCATGGGCTCGGCATGCGGGGGGGGGGGCGGTCGGTGGGCACGTGCGAGCCGCCCTCGAGGGCGGGGGTCGGCGAACCCCGGGACCTCTCCCTGAGCGCCCGGTGCTCGGTTCAGCTCCAGGAGGAGGGCGGCGGCTGGCGCACCTGTGGGGCGTTAGGTTCCTGGGAGCGGAAAGTGCATATAGCACACCACGTGATGATGGAGCTGTGGGGTCGGTAACGGGGCTCGGAAGGTCAGGAACAGCACACGCGAGCCACGGGTGACAGCGGGCGTGGGGACTGAGGATGTGGGAAGAGACACAGTCATCACCCTAGTGCTCATTAAAACCAGGCCCTTCCCAACGTGGGGGAAGGGACAGGGACAGAAGAGATGCCCAGGAGGCTGCAGTTCCCGGTCCCGTTCCCCCAGCCAGCAGCCCCTGCTTCCACCGAGGTCTGCAGACCAAAGCCCGGGCTCCAGCCCGGCACTGCTTCGGAATAAAAGGTGACCAGGGTCGCTTAGAGAAATTGTTGAGGAAGCTGTAGGAGACCTCGCCCTTGTTAGGCAAGAGCTGCAGCGGGCTTCCTGGCCGGCCACCAACAGGCCTGCCCTGACCTGGAAAGGATGTATTTAAGAAGCCTGCCTGCTCGCTGTGGCCTCCCCGCTTTTGTTCTTCCCTCTAGGCGGCGTGGTCCCTTGACCGACTCGCCTTCGGGGTTCACTTGTTCTGCCCCTAGTCCGGGGTTCCATCTAGGCATCAAAGAGCTGTGAAGACCGCGGTCAGCGGCCTCTTTCCCTCCCCGAGTTGTAACGACTTGGAGAGGAGCTTTTGTATAAGGTTTTAACCTTATACACTTAGTTAACTAAAATGAAATAGAAAATGCTGAGGTGTGTGGTAAAGTGCCTCGTGCCTGGGGATGTATGTAGCTCAGTGGATTTTTGCCTAGCAGGCACGTGGCCTTGGGATCCATCCTCAGTACCTCAAATAAAAAAAAAAAAAAGTGCCTAAAAACACCTTTGAAACCTACAAAGTGAATCAGTGGTAGCCCGGGATTGGGTAGATATGTGGGAGATGAAATGCTCTGCAGGTATATAACTTGCCAAAATGCAAAGATAACTAAAAGTCAGAAACTAGAACATGATTAAAAAACCAGATACCTTTTTCTTGGCTAATGAATCAAACTTCATTGTTACAGAGACAATAAAACCACAGAGGTGGCTTCAGGATCTAATTTTGAAACTTGAAAAAAGATGCCATTTGGTGCTTAACAATGTACGGGAGAAGATGTCGGGGGAACCCAGCTAGATAATGGCTCCTGAACACTGATTTTGTTCTCCGCTTCAGTTCTAGAAATTGTTCAATTAATTTTCTTTTTTGGAGGACTCTAAAGGGGGGGGGAGAGGGACTTTCTTTTTTCCCCTCAAGGTGTTTTCCAAGGAAGCCTCTTCCCCTTGGCATTCAAGCTAAAATCTTTCCCTTACTTAATTCATAACATTTCATAGATAAGTTTTTTTATTATTGTTATACTGGGTGGGGTTACATTGTAGCATTTACAAAGGTTCTTAAAATGTATCAAATATATTTGAATTCATCCTTTCCACTGCTCTCTTTGATCCCTCCTCCCCTGATTCCTGGGAAAGTTTGAACAAGTATCATTTTTGCATTTACATACATGTGTATACATTATTTGCACCATATTCATCTTCCCACCCCTTTCCCTATCACCTCCTGGTAAGTTTTTAAAATGAGGTAAAGCACTTTGAAAGCTATTAATTAAGCTGAGCACCAGTGGCTCACATCTGTAATTCCAGCTACTCAGGAGGCAGAATCAGGAGGATGGCAAATAGGTCCGTGAGACCCTATCTCCGAAAAAAAAAAAAACCATCACAAGAAAAAGCTGGTGGACTGGCTCAAGGAGTAGGCCCTGAGTTCAAACCTCAGTACCACAAAAAAAAAAAAGGAAATTAATCAGATGGGATTACTGATGTCTCCTTTCATTCTAAAATCAAAATGCTGTGGACTTTCCTTCTTTCTTTAAGCACAAGGTCTCACTTTGTAGCCCAGGCTGGTCTCAAACTTTGTTTTTTTAAGCAGTTTTGGAGTTGAAACCAACTTACAAGGCTGGTGCTCTACCACTTGAACCATACCACTAGCCAAATTCTTGATTCTCATGCCTCAGGCTACAGAGTACTGGGATTATAGGAGTGTTCCACCAGGCCTAGCTCATATGGTGAAATTCGAAAGGCCTGGATATGGCAGTAGTGATCATAGTCCACAGACCAAGAAGCTAGTGGGAGCTGGTTATTCCTGACCTCCAAACTCACTTTCTAACTGTCAGATCTGTACCAGTGGAAGATGCTAATGCACTGGCCTAACTTGATTCACAATAGCACTATAAGCTGCATTTTCCCCGTGCCTGCTCCACCCACTTTTTTGTCCTTTTCCTGGATGATCATGCTTGTGACCTTCATTATTTGTGTAGTCCTTTCCATTCCCATGCCAGCTCTCACTGTCAGCTAATGACAGTGACCCGTGTCAGAGCCACTGTGTCATCGTCACATTAGTCTTTCACTTGGCTTTGTGCACTCATTCTCAGACCCTTTTTTTCTTACAGGACACATCTGAAATAGGACTTAAGGCTTTGAAGATATTGACAGTACGAGTTTTGAACTCAGGGCCTTGAGCTTACTAGGCAAGCACTTTACCACGAGCCACAACTTCAGTCCATTTTGTTCTGGTTATTTTGGAGATGGCACCTCACGAACCATTTGCCCAGGCTGGTCTTGAACCATGATCTTTCCTCCTTACAAGTAGCTAGGATTACAGGTGTGAGCCACCAGTGCCTGGCTCCATCCTACTTAAGGAGCATTTCTCACTGCCTTCCAGCACTTTTTCCCCACTAAGCAGCCTTCCTGTGTATAATATAAAATCCAGCACAGCTTCTGTCTGGTCCAGGAACCCTCAGAAGTGATCCCTTGAGTGAATGAGCAAATGCTGTGTGGCGGTTGATGGAAATGTGAACTTTGTGCTTCCCCACAGAAATTCACCATGTCTATTCTCAAGATCCATGCCAGAGAGATCTTTGACTCTCGTGGGAATCCCACTGTTGAGGTTGATCTCTACACTGCCAAAGGTATGTCCACTTGCTTTCCATGGTTCCTTTTGGCACACTGTTTAAACTTTGTCTTACAGTGAGGGAGCCTGAGGCCAGGAGAAAAGTCTGTCACTGCAGCAGATTTTCTTGCTGGTCAGCACATGCTAGTGGGCCCTGACTCTTGAGGGTGCCACGGGACAGTAGGGCATGGAGCCCTTGTCTTCCTGTTGCTTGGTATTTAAAACTGGATTGGCTTCTGGGTTAGCGAGGCAGGGAAGTAAGGGATACCTTGAGACCTTGTCCCTCTAAGGTCTCAGCACTAGTGGTTGGCAACATAGCTCACTGTGACCAAATAAGTAGAGTGTGATAGGGTGACAAGAAAAAAGACATCAGGGGATTTGAGCAGCTTATATTGGTGTTCCAAAGTTCCTCCTGAATGAAGGATCAGGGACAGTGGGTTTTGGGCTTGGGGTTTGGGCTAGTTCAGAGGCTCTTCGTTTTACCTGGCTGAGTCCCTCCAGGAACAGATTTTGTTTTGTTTTGTTTGAATCATTAGTGCATTGTAGTTGTACAGGGGAATACGTTCTGACATTTACATATGTTGTGTTTATAATATACTTTAAACTTTCTTCCTCATCCTCCTTTATAGAACAATTTCATCAGGTTTCATTGTTCTGTTTTCATACGTGAACACAAAATACATCACCCTTCACCCTTATGTCTTCTCCCTCACATGGTACCCACACCTGGACAGGACCTGTTTTACCTTTCTGTCTTTGATTTTTTTAAAAAAACATATTTGTTAGTATATGATAGTTACACAGGGGGTTTCATTGTGACATTTTCATATATACACATTTTATACCCCGAATTGGTTCATCTCCTTCATTATTCTCCTATCTACCCCATTCCCCTTCTTACAGTAGATAGGGGCTTTTGAAAGCTTTCACTTTAAGAAGAAATTCCTGGTCCTGTTACTTCCACCAGTGTCCCGGATGTTTTGGAAATGCACACAGTGGGTTCTGTTGGAAAAGGGGCCTCAGGCTGAGCTCCTCAGCGCTGCTAAATCACCAGGATCTGTCAGTCACAGTTGAGTCAGTCTGAGTCACAGGCCTGGCATTGGAGTCCAACCCTTCCCTTCCTGTCTGCCCCCTCTCAACCTCTCCCTCCCCCCAAGAAAAGAAGGATGCTCAAGTCTTGACTTCATTCACCAAAAACCTGCCTGTGCTCTGCCTTGGCTACTCACTGTGGGGGACACTCTGCTCTCTTCTGGGACATGTTTTATGGTGAATACCCAGGGTTCTCACAGGATGCTGAGAATTTCCCTTCATCTCATGAGGTCTGCTTGCTCAGACAGCAGGTGAAACTTCCCACTTGGAAACTAATTGACTTTTTTAAAAACCCAAGAAACTAGATGATGGGGAAGGAGAGCATTTACTTTGAAACACCTGAAAGTGATTTTCCTTATTGTATATTTGCTTTTATGTATCAGTTAAAAGTCAAAAAAAAATTTTTTTTTGGACAGTCCTACTGTGTAGCTCAGACTGGCCACAAAGTCAAGACTCTCCTGCCTCTGCCTTCCAAGTGCTGGGGTCACAGGTGTGTAGTCACCATGCCACGCTAAAAATAGTTTTTGAAATTGAAATGAATGGAGCTTTCTCTGCTTTGTTTTTGCAGTGCTAGGAATTGAAACCAGGCTTCATACAGCTAGGCAAGTGCTCTACCATTGAGCTACATCCTCAGACCAATCCTTTTGAGATAGATAGATAGATAAAATGGTGGATTTATGAGCCTTCCATCTTTCCCTTTTACCCATACTTTTGAGTACTTTTAGCAAAATGAAGGAAAGCCAAGTAGAGGCACATTCCTATAACTCCAGCACTCCCAGAGGCAGGAGAATCATGAGTGTTTTCTTTCTTTCTTTCTTTATTTATTTATTTATTTTGGTGGTACTGGGGTTTGAACTCAGGACTTCATGCTTACAAGGTAGGTGTTTCACCACTGTAGCCATGCCTCCAGCTCTAGGATTTTGAGTTTGAGGACAGCCTGGGCTGCATAGTGAGACCCTTTCCAAAAAGGAAAAGAAAAAGTTGAGCAGAAGGTATAGAGTTTCCTCATCCCCCTCCCCTCCACCTGCACACCTTGCCCAGGGTCAGCATCTCCCACAGGCGTAGTTCATTTGTTACAGTGAACTTCTGTTGATCCATTGCTTCACTCAGAGTCCATAGACTTACGAGTTCTCCTCACCTAATGGAGGTGTGCAGCTGTCACAGATCATGCCTGAGTGATTTTTTTTTTTTGTCCTTTTGCCTTCATGTCACCATACCCCTACAAGCTCCTCACATTCTTGAGATGAGAAGTTCAAGTAGATTGCACAGGTTGCCTGTACCTCCTGCTCCCCTAACTCTTACTGGCTGCCCTGAAATCAGACTCCTGCAGCCCCTTTTTTGACATTATATGTCCTTGTGCCTTCTCTACTCTCTGCTGTTGTATGCTTCATGGCATGGGTTTAGCCTGACAGCTGGTTTCTATATTTGCAACATTGTGTGATACAGCATTTGTGTCCTAGTGTGAATTAAGCTCTGTGTTTTCTATTGTCTGTTCCTTTTTTCCCCAGTTCAATCCTGTTTTCCATTTTCTTCTGCTTAGAAAACCCCAAAGTAGTGAACATTTTCAATCATCTACCTGGCCACACTTCTGTTTCTACTGGGTGGTGTTGCTCAGTGGTCCACAGACCTGCTAAGAGATTTAAACTAGAGAAAGTTGAGTGCTTTGTGGTAGCATCTGCACTTGAGAATCACTAAAACGTGAACAGTGGAAAGAAGGGACTGTCTCCCCAGTTGATTTAAGGAAGCCACGGTGTTAACGGTCACAGAAGCCACCTGTGGTGGATACTGGGTTTCTGGTGCTGCTGAACTTTCTTGGGGTGGAGGTGGGGCAGAAGTGGGATTTGAACTCATGGCCTCACTCTTGCTTAGTAGGCACTCTTAACTGCTTGAACCACTCCACCAGCCCTTTTTTGTGATGGGTTTTCTTCAGGGTAGGGCCTCTCGAACTATTTGCCCAGGCTGGCTTTGAACTGCGATCTTCCTGATCTCTGCCTCCAGTGTAGCTAGGATTATAGGCGCGGTCTGCCAGCGCCACTGGTCTTCTTAATCAGTACTATTTTTTCTCCGTCTCCTCCAGGTCTCTTCCGAGCCGCTGTGCCTAGCGGAGCCTCAACTGGTATCTATGAGGCTCTGGAACTGCGAGACAATGATAAGACTCGCTACATGGGGAAGGGTAAGGCGTGGAGCCCACGGCCCACTTCTGGAGCGAGGTCATTCCCGGCCTCCATGCCCAACCCCTTCTTGGCCTTTCCCAGACCCCCAGCACCCCAGGATGGGGCCTTCATTTTAGGATTTCACTCACAGTGTCAGTGGTGAGCACTATGCCAGCACATGGAGGACAGCACAGTGACTCTTGGTTCTTAAGCCTGGAACCTCAGGGTCAGGAGTGTTTTTTTGGGGGGGGGAATCAAGAGGTTTTTTTTGGGGGGGGTCAGGAGTTTAGGGCTTATTGGTATTGTGATCTGTCTCCCTTCTATGAACTACCCCTTCATCGTTAGGCCAGGGAGCTTGAGTGTGCAACTCCCTTTCTTCAGGTCTGTGCCTTCTAGAACATTTACCTTCAAGGGTGAGAAAGCCTACCCTCCACAGTGGCTACTGACAAGTCACTGCAGCTTGCTTTTCTGTTGACCAGTTCTCAGAAGCACTGCCCCAGTGATGCTAGCGTCTGGCCAGCCATGTGCAGAGTGACTTTTGGGCCTTTGTTCAGCCTTTACCTTTCTGCAGATGGAACCCATGTGGCTATGTCACAGCAGTGACACAGGCTTGACTGCTTTCTCCAGGTTGGGGTGGGGCATCACCCCTGGGGCGAGGGGGGTATGTAGAGCACATCTGTAGTAATGACATTTCAGGAGGGTGGCAATCAGGGAAAAGTCTAAAAAGGCTGCAGCTGCAGGAGAGGGGGCTGTCGTGAAGTGGGGTTCAGGAATGTGAGGCAAGAGCTGTAGGAAGGCCATGTGCACTCCACTTGGTGAGCGCTGCCTCCGCACATAAACGTCTTGTTTAATGGCTGCTCGGGCTTCTGTGGACCAGACAGCGCTGGGCCCTGATAGTAATACATGCTTAGTGAGCCGGCATTTGTAGAAGGCACTTGTCCCTGAAACTTTCCTGCCCTCTTCTATTTTCACTTTCTGTCCTTTGTCCTTCAAAGCCTTTTCTCTTCTGAGTCTCTTTTCCTTCTCTGTCTACCTCTACTGGGCAGGCGTCTCCAGACCTGTTAAGTATGTTAATGAGTTCCTGGCACCAGCTTTGTGCACTCAGGTAACTCACCAGTCATCCTCTGGGTGTGCAGCTGGTGTTCCCAGTGCATGGTCTTGACACTAACCTCCCTCAGATGATTCTGAGCTGGTTGCTTTATGTTTGGCTCTAACCCCTTGGGGTCCTAGGTAAGAGCACTCAGACTGGGCCAGAAAGTCCCATTCTGGGGGGAACGGGGAACGGGTTGAAGAAGTCCCATGGAGAGTCTTTGATGGGTTTCTGAGTCCACACCTTCAGTGATCTCTGCAATGTTGCTCAAGCCTGCATATTTTAATTACTGTCAGTAATTTGATTTAATTATTCCTTCTAGGTGTCTCACAGGCTGTTGAGCACATCAATAAAACTATTGCACCTGCCCTTGTTAGCAAGGTAGGACCTCCTCCTGGTAACTAACATGTATCAATGCCACCAGAGTGAACCCTAGCCCAGGGCCTTTCCTGTGCACTGAAGAGCTTATTCTGAGAGCTGTAGAAGCCGATTGGATTCCCTGTGTGCATAAGAGTAACTCATGCATGCTGTTAATCTAACCTGTCCCCTGTCTGTTCACTTCTAATAGCATCTGGAATTGGGCCAGCAGAATGGGAGCTTGTCTTGGAGCCCTTAGTATTTTTTAAAGTGAATTCTTTTTAAGTAAGATCTTACTTGAGGGACTGGGGGTGCAGCTTAGTGGTACAGCATGTGCTTAGCTTGTCCAAAGCCCTGGGTTCCCAGCCCTGTCCTATATCTTGTTAGAACCTAGTGTGTCAAACAGGTAAAAATAGGGCCCTGGCTGTCCATTCAGCCTCCTCATGAATTTTTGCCTGATTTACCCTCCTGTGCCCTTCATAGTCCCCACAGTGCTCCCCGATGGGAATGGTTTGCAAACCCCTGTCCAGGAAAGCCATCAACCAGTCATGGCCTCCTTGTCTGTTCTGCTCATATCTAGTTCCTCCTCCCTTGAATTTGCCTCTGTACTGATGGAAATGAGGGGTTCCTTTGTCACTTCTCCCAGTGTGCTTATTTTGGCCTGGTCTTTGTGGCACCATCTAATTGGTCCCTGCCCAATTTGAGGGGGAAGATAACTCACTGTTGTTTAAGAGTTGGCCTCCAAGCTGTCTTCCTGGGTGACTGCTTTCCCAGTGATGGCAAAGGTACTGGGCTGTTAACATGGCATCGTAAGGTTATAGACAGTTTTTGTATTTCAGTTTTCATATAAAGAACTTTATGCGTAAAATCAAGCACGAATTTTGAAGCTTTTAAAGTAATGCTGGTTTTTACTGAAAAACTGCTTAGTCGGGTTTCAAGACACCAGTTTTATTATAGTCTGATCAGGTATCCATTTTGATAAGTCCAGCGTTTCATCAAATGATTGTGGACCATGTGTAAAATTACACATCCGCTGGAAGATGGAGCTTGGATCTTAGCCAAGAGACAGCCCCGGGAAAACTGGGCGCTGGGCAGAGGGAGGCACTTAGAGAATAGTGACCTTTGTTACTTACTGCTCCAAAGAGTAGTTCTTGTTTGTAGTAATAGCTTCTACAGCATGTGCCAGACAGGTCTGTCTTGTGCACAATGTCACCTTGGACTCCTGCGGTAGACTGTCTCTGTTGTCCTGATACCATTAAAGCAAGTCAGAGGCAGCTTAGTGTTCACTCTTGGCACATATGCTACCACCGAGCTCCATGCCCAATCTATAAAACAAACAGAGCACAGAATTGATTTTGACTTTGTGCACGTCCAAAGTTCTACAGATTCCATGGCAGGAGAGCAAAGGTCATGCAGGGGACCTGTCCATCAGCCCTCCCCCTCCCTCTCTCTCTCCTCTAGAAACTGAGCGTTGTGGAACAGGAGAAGATCGACAAACTAATGATCGAGATGGATGGGACCGAAAATAAATGTGAGTGGCCCAAGGTGGAGCCTTTGCTGGGGAAAACCTTTTTTAAAAAAGAAAAAAAACCTTTAGTAAGAGATGTTTATACCCTGGCCTCTTCCTGTTTCTATGCCTCACTTTAAGAAATCACATTTTAAATATCGGGCCCACCCAGGGGACAGCAGCATGCCTATAGGGTACTCAAGAGACTTGCCCTTTATAGTCAAGCAGTTTGGGTAATTGTCAAGCATTTGTCATCCAAGGAAGGGGCTCTGGCCTGGGGAGAGGATTATTTGAAGAGTGAAGTGAAAGGGCAGGACGAAGAAACTTCTTATGTGGTCCAAGGTGGGGTGCAGCCCAGCAGTACAGACAGGCAGAAAGCCAGTGGGACAGAGGTTGCCAAGTAAGAAATGACTTCATTCACCTTCTTCCATTCTAGCTAAGTTTGGTGCAAACGCCATCCTGGGGGTGTCTCTTGCGGTCTGCAAAGCTGGTGCTGTGGAGAAGGGAGTGCCCCTGTACCGCCACATTGCCGACTTGGCTGGCAACTCTGAAGTCATCCTGCCTGTCCCTGTGAGTGACTTGTTGGAACAGGGACCTGGTCCACCTGAACCTGGTGACCACTGGGTGGGCGTGCACTGCTGCTCAGTGGGCTGGCTCCTCCAGGCTGCTTCATACCTCGCTGCTGTCGTCTACCCCAGGCTTTCAATGTGATCAATGGCGGCTCTCATGCCGGCAACAAGCTGGCCATGCAGGAGTTCATGATCCTCCCCGTGGGGGCTGCAAGCTTCAGGGAGGCCATGCGCATCGGAGCAGAGGTCTACCACAACCTGAAGAACGTCATCAAGGAGAAGTACGGGAAAGATGCCACCAACGTGGGCGACGAGGGCGGCTTTGCACCTAACATCCTGGAGAACAAGGAAGGTAAAAGTGCTCAAGGACACCCTGAACTGTGTGAAACTGTCTCTCTCTATTGCCACTGTGGGGACAGCTCATGACCCTGCAGAGATGTTGCAGTGGTACATGTCTGTAGTCCCAGCTGCTCTGGAGGCTGATGCAGGAGGATCACTTAAATCTGTCAGTTCAAACCAGCTTGGGCAACATGTCTCAAAAAAATACATAGGAAAAATATAGAAGATGCCACGTGTGGTGTAATCTAGCACCTTGGAGACAGGAATAGGATAGAGTTCAAAGCTAGCCTGGGCTATGTAGTGAGACCCTGTTTGAGATAAGTGGATAGATAGATACCTAGGAAGGCTTTTCGTCATTGGGTTTGACAGATCAAGTGGGGCTGATTGAGGTGTAGAGAGGTGGTTTGTTCCTTGCTGTTCTTTTACACTGCATGGGCAAAGTTTGAGGTGTGCTGTAATGCAGGGACATGCCAGATACTCATTTTGAAATAGGGTCTCACTTTGTTACCTGTTGCCTGGGCTCAAGCAGTCCTCCTGCTTCAGCCTCCCGAGTAGCTGGGACTACAGCACATGCCACCGTACCTTGCTAATTACAATAATTTTTTTGGTGGGGGGGAGGTGCAACACTGGGGTTTGAACTCAGGGCCTCACACTTGCCAAGCAGGCACTCTACCACTTGAGCCACTCCACCAGCCCTAACTATAGTAATTTTTTAATAGGCTTGGTTTATTTAGGCTTTGCTCTGATATTTTTAGGCAGTTAAATGTAAGAAGCATGTGGAGAGTCCAGAAAGTTCTAAGACAATTATTCACTGCTAAGCATTTTTTTTTGGGAGGATACATAATACTCAAGCATGGTGTTTCTGTTGCCTTCAAGGAACTAGTGAAAGAAAATACTCATCCTAATACACATCCTGGTTGTGGGGCTAACCATATGAGATGACTGATAATTGGACATTTTTGACCAACAAAATGGACTTTTCTACAGTTTAAACCAACAGTTTTGGGGGTCTTTGTGAGAAACAAGAGCCAGTTGTCTAGTCAGCTCTTCAAACTGGGCTAGGACACACTTCCCCAGAGCTCTTGGCAGAACACCCTGGAGGTGGCTCTTGTTTCCTGGGCCCCTTCTTGGATCCCAGCCTGTGCTCTATTTGAAGCTAGTTGCACAGGACAGCTGATTGCATCTGATCACTGCACCCGTATCTTGCCAGCACAGCTGTTCCTGGGCACTAAATTTGGTAGCATTTTTTCTTAGAGTATGAATTTCCCACTTGGTGATGCCCAAGGGCCCTGACCAGTGATTTCCTATCACAAAGCAGGAAGGAGTACCTGCCATCCTCAAAGTTGGTGGCTGGGGTCAGAGCATCTCCTGCTCTTCTGTTAGGGTCCCCACCTGGCAGCTTTAAAAAGAAATCTTACTTCTGCATACCTTTTGTGCACACTTGTTGCCCTGTCTATTTCTAGCCCTGGAGCTGCTGAAGAATGCAATCGGGAAGGCTGGCTACACTGATAAGGTTGTCATCGGCATGGATGTGGCTGCCTCTGAGTTCTTCAGGTCTGGAAAATATGACCTGGACTTCAAGTCTCCTGATGACGCCAGCAGGTACATCACGCCTGACCAGCTGGCTGACCTCTACAAATCCTTCATCAAGGACTACCCAGGTTAGTGCTCTGGGTCACCATCCCCTCTTAGCTGCAGTCGGTGGCTGGCTGCAGAGGTGAGAGGGTGGGGTGTCTGTGCTGTAGACCTTCCCAAGGGGGCTTTGCTGGGGCTGGTCCACACAGCACACACACAGCACGCATACATAGGGCCTCACAGTGGTTCTTGCTGTGGATGAGTCGTCAGGCACCAGCAGCAACAGTGTGTGGAGTTGTTAGAGTACAGTGCGACTGTCATACAACCTGGAGGCAGACGCAGCCCGCATCCCATACAGGGTGGAAGCTGAGCCCTGAGCCACACCGTCCCTTCTTACTATTATTTTTCGTGTTTTCTATGAGCTGAGCTCTGCTCTAGGCTCTGCATCATTTGATGCACACAGGATAGGGACTGTCCCTGCCATTTTACAGGAGAGGAAACTGAAGTACTGTGAGGAGCAGGAATTGAGACTGTAAGTCTGACCCAGAGGCCCTGCACTTAACTGTCACACTCAGTAACTTGGTCAAAATTGAACCAAGATCCAGACTCAGTCTTACTGTTTATTTAGACAGGGTGTCAGTATACACGCACACGCACGCATACCCCTCCCGAGTGCAATCTTTGTGCTTTTTAGAAACACTTTTTTAACGTACAGGGGATGGAACCAGGTTTGCATGCATGCTAACCAAGTGCTGTACCACTGAGCCCCACCCCAGCCCCCTTCATACTTCTGAGCTTTCAGCTCTGTACTTATCCTCAGTGGCACCAAATTTGAACCACCTGGGCAGGTAAGCACAAACCTGAGCTGGACATTATGATATATGCTTGTAATCCTATCACTTGGGAGGCTGAGGCAAGAGAATAGAGTCCAAGGTCCTCCTGGGCTGCAAAGTTATTTGGAGAAAAAACATTCAGGCTCAAGCATGGGCAGCTTTCATGCCCCACTGCAGGAGGCTGGTGGGCAGTGTTTCCAGAGCTGGGCAGGAGCCCTTCCTGTGTTGGCTGGGAGGTGGGAGGCAGATGCTAGCAATTGAGCTGGAGAGGCTGCGCACTGCAGTCTAGCCAGGGCGCTCACAGATGACACATCTCTCCTTTCCGCAGTGGTGTCTATCGAAGACCCTTTTGACCAGGATGACTGGGAAGCCTGGCAGAAGTTCACGGCTACTGCAGGCATCCAGGTGGTAGGCGACGATCTCACGGTGACCAACCCGAAGAGGATTGCCAAGGCTGTGGGCGAGAAGTCATGCAATTGCCTCCTGCTCAAAGTGAACCAGATCGGCTCAGTGACCGAGTCCCTGCAGGCGTAAGTGCCTCCCAGGGAGAGGCAGGGAGAGAGCCACAGTGCCTTACTTCTGGAGTTGGGGAGCCCCACAGATTGGCTCTTAAACTAGGCAGTGGCCCCAAGGGGTTGGTACATTGGTCAGTGGTGGCTTGAGTCTGACTCCCTGTGGCTAAATTTCACATGGAGTACATGGCTCGGTGAATTAACTCAGTGAGAGTGAAGGACGACCAGTCTGTCCCCTCCAAGGGTTTGCATGACTAGATGATGAGAAGGCTCTTGGGTTAGAGTCCTTCAGAGGAGGACCGGGGTCATCCTCTGGTATTGTCCCAGCTGTGCTTCTGGACAAAGCCAGACATTGAGGCTTTGTTGAGGACGCTTGCCCTCCACGTGTCTCCCAGGGATGAGGAGCAGTGGGCTCAGAGGAGTGGTAGCATGGGACATACGGTGAGGGAAGGTGATGTTTCCTGACTGCAGGTGCAAGCTGGCCCAGTCCAATGGTTGGGGTGTCATGGTGTCCCATCGCTCTGGAGAGACTGAGGATACCTTCATTGCTGACCTGGTGGTGGGGCTTTGCACTGGGCAGGTGAGTGCTGTGTAAAGTGACAGCTTATCTGAGGGCGGGAGCTTGGCCCCCTTAAGGATTTGTCTCAGCCATGGTGCCTTCTCCTCACCCACAATGCCCACGAAGACTCAGTACCCAACAATATGGTCTTTTCTTTTTTCTCTCCAGATCAAGACTGGTGCACCTTGCCGATCTGAGCGTCTGGCCAAGTACAACCAGCTCCTCAGGTAAAGAGACTTCTGGTGATGGTGTGGTCTGGGGGATGCATCTCTGGGTTGGGGCCAGAGCATATCCTAAGGCAGGCACCTGGCAGTGCTGACAGAAATAGAAGTCTGTTTTATGTAGTGCTCCCATTTTGTGGTGGGGGGTAGAAGAGGGCCCCTTTGACTATACAGGCACATTTTCAGAGATAGAAGAGCACTGTAGTACCTGACCTGCCCTTGTTTTAAGGGTAAGGAAACCAGGGCTTGGAGAACTGAAGCAAATTGCCAAAGGGCAGAGGCTGGGTGCCCACTGGTCTGTGCTGCTGGGTACTCTGACCCCCCCCCCACTGTCCTCTTGTGTTCTTGGGGAGCCCTAGGGGAACAGGAACATCCATTTCATAAGTTCTCCTTATTTATCCCTTCTTTATAACTTCACCCTGGGAGTTGTCAGCATGAAGGCAGAGGGAGCAACAGGATTGCTGTCCTTAGGTCAGGTGCAGCATTGTTTGTGTTCTTTGTGTCTGGTCATGTTACACCACATTTTATTTTAAACATCAAGATCCAGACAGTAGCAGGGCAGCATGGCTCACAGCTGTAATCCCAGCTCCGTGGGAGATGGAGAATGGGAAGATTGTGGTTCAACACCAGCTTAGGGAAAGAGTTTCAGAGTCCATCTCAGCCTGGGTTCAGTGTTACACAGGGGATAGGGCAGGGCTCAGATGGTTCAGGGCCTGTGTACAAACCCAGTGCTGCCAAATAGGATCCAAGCGCCATCGTCCAGTATGTTTGTCTCCTTTCCCTGCCGTTGAATGAGGAACCTGAGTTGGTTGCCCTTTCAGTTTAAAAAAAAAGGTACAGACTTCAACTCAGGGCCTACACCTTGAGCCACTCCACCACTTTTTTGTGATGAGTTTTTTCAAGATGGGGTCTTATGGAACTATTTGCCTCAGCTGGCTTTGGATTGTTTTTTGTTTGGTTTGGGGTTTTTTTTGGGTGGTACTGGGTTTGAACTCAGCTGGCTTTGAACTGCGTTCTCCTGATCTCTGCCTCCTGAGTAGCTTAGGATTACAGGTGTGAGCCACCAGCACCTGGCTGTGTTAGGATTTTTATATTCAAGAAATAGCAGTCCTGGTGTTTATTCAGTTCTGCCTTTTGGCAACAGAGAGGGGAAGAGAAGGAAAAGCTCACTGGACGAGCAAGGTGAAGGAGGCAGGGTAGGGGCATCCTGAGACACACTGGTTTCTGGGCCTCAAGAATAAGCGTGGCACAGGGGAGAGCTGCTCTGGGTTCTTTCTTCCTGGGGAAGCAGGGCTCTGTGCCTGAGCACGCCTAGGTGGGAGGGAGGGCCTTCTGCACTGGGGTTTGACTTTCTATCTTTGTGCTTTCCAAGAATCGAGGAGGAGCTGGGCAGCAAGGCCAAGTTTGCTGGCAGGAACTTCAGAAACCCCCTGGCCTAAGTAAGCCATGGGCAGGTGAGCCTCAAAACCCTCAGTCACCACCGGCTACATAGACCCTGCCCCTGTCAGTGAGGGTGAAGCAAGGCCCTGCCCAGTGCTTGCAGGGCCTCTGGTAGTTAGCTCCCCTCTCCTGCCTCTGCTTCCTTAGAATTCGTGCAGAAGCCACACCTACCACCGGGAGCCCTGTTGGAAACCCTAGCTCTGTAATCATGTCATTGGTCCAAATCGTTGTTGTCACCTTGCTTGCCAAGTGTCTGGAGCCTTGTATACCTCCAGCATGATTTCTATGGTGACCACAGGCAAGATCCCCAGTGGTTTTATGTGCAAAATAAAAGCCTCAGTGACCCAAAAGAACTTGTGCACGTGTGTAGATCAAGCTGCTGAGTCTGTCCCTTGTGTCTTCCTGGAGCCCCTAGGGTGGTGGGATACAAGCCTGCGAGAGCTCGAGGCTGTGGGTCATGGGGAGTGGGTGAGAGGTCAGTCCTCTCAGGAAGGACAGTTGAGGCAGGTGGGGGGTGGAGTCCACGTGTCCTTGGAGGGGAGACAGACTTCCAAGTGAAGAGATCTTATTCAGGAGATACAAATGCAGATGATCTGGTGGCAATCAGAAGACTCCCAGCAGCATACAGGCCACCTTGGGCAGGGATGGAACGTGGGTTCTCCTGGGGAAAGCAGGTAAAGCGATTTTAAAAGGGCCAGATGTGGTGGTACACACTTGTAATCCCAGCCTCAGGAGGCTGAGACAGGAGGATTGAGTTCAGCTATATATAGTTACTGTATATATAGTGACCCTATCTCAAAAACAATGGTAACAGGAGGGAGACAGCCTTTGAAGGCCTTGGAACCTCATTCAAGTTAACAACATTGTCCTCAGCTTCTCCAGCCTTATCTCATCTGCTCAGCTGCATGTAGTTAATGCGGCATTGTGTGCTGCAGATGAAGAAGCTTAATGTTGCAGAAAGCACCATTAGGATGTCTGGGGTGACATTGAACTCAGTGTGTGATGAATGCATTTGTGTAAAAAAGGTGAAATGGGGTGGTTCTTATCTGCCCCTTAAAGAGGTCTTGTAGCCAGCCCTGGGGGCTCACACCTGTAATCCTAGCTACTCAGAAAACAGTAGCTAGTTCATGAGCCCTGTCTTGAAAAAACCCATGACAAAAAAGGGCTGGAGGAATGGCTCAAGGTGAAGGCCCTGAGTTCAAAAAAAAAAAAAAAAAAAAAGATCTTATATTTTATTAGTATTTTTCTTCCCCTGAAAAACTGATCAGAGTACTTTGAATTGGGTTTTAATGCTGTCCACAGTCAGAGAACTAGGGGGCCCTCCCGTGGACATTTGTGTCAGAGTTTGTCTCTTCAGTCATGCCTTACCACAGAGTTGAACCTCTAGGAGGTGCAGGTATTAAGGGTTGGCCTCTGGGTCCTGGAAGCCTGAAGGGTGCAGGTCAGAAGGGAACTGAGCAGCAGATGGAGCTCCAGGACCCAGGCTTCGCTCGCTGTCCTTTCACAGGTGGGGAACCGCCCTGCTTCTGAGACACCCCTCCCCCATTAAGCTGTGGCTCGGGGTGTGGTTCAGTGGCAGAGTGCTTGCCTGGTACTGTAAGGCCCTGGGTTCTACCCCAGCACTACAAAATGAAAACGTTTCTGATTAATGGTCTTAATTACAACTGCAAGTACCTTCCCAGTGATCCTAGGTTAGTATTTGATTGAATAGCCAGGGATCCTAGTCAGACTGACACATCGCAGCCCCTCCATGCACATTTCTAAAATTGAGACTCCAAATAACAAAATCACACCATGCAACATTGCCCCACGTGCAACCAAAAATGCCCCTTCCTGGATAAGTGTGCACCACCACTCTGACTTCTTCCCAGGGTTTTCTAACAATCTGAAAACATTGGAAGGAGACGAGTCATTGAACTAGGTCTGACAGTCCTTTTTTTTTTTTTTTTTCTTTTTTTGCTGGTTCTGGGGTTTGAACTTGGTCTCACACTTGCTAAGCAGACACTTTACCAGCAAACCTTTTTGGGGTTGGTTATTTTTGAACGAGGGTCTGGAGCACTATTTCCTGGGCTGGCTTTGAACTGTGATCCTCCCTGCCTCCTGAGTACTTAGGGCTGTAAGCATGAGCCACTGGCACCTAGCAGTGAAACAGTTAAAATAGGCCTGGGATCCTAAATGTCTTCAGATTACACGGGTTTATAGGAATTTAAAGTGTGTTTTTAAAGTTAAGTTTCTTTAGCATTTGTTAGCATTCACTGCTTGCTTTGTGTTTTCTTTGAAACTTCATAGTACAAATATGTTTCCATTTGTCTCTTGGGGCTTGTCTACCCCCCGAATTCCTGGACCTCTGGCATCCAAACAAAAATAAATTGAAGCGGGGCACCAGTGGCTCACACCTGTAATCCTAGCTACTCAGGAGGCAGCGATCAGGAGATGGAGGTTTCAAGCCAGCCCAGGCAAATGGTTGAAGCAGTTGTTCTCAAACTTGGCCTGGGCACTCCCAGGACCAATTAGGCTGGCACGATCTGGGTGGAACGGAAGCATCAGGATTTAAAGTTCCCAGCTGGCTCCAATGTGCAGCCAAGCTTGAAAACCACTGGCTTGGGGTAAATGGGTGGCAAGAGGGAATGCCAAGCTTTCTTGGGGACAATGGGAGGCAGCCAGGCTTCCCAAAGAAGCCCCAACTGCTGGTAATTTCCTTTATAACGAATTCAGCTGAAGCAGGAAGATGGCAGCTGAGGCCCCTGACACAGTCCACAGAGCTGCTCGGTGGTGGGTTCCATGCTGGGCCTGTGCCTGCAGCCAGATCAGCTCCATCTGAGCAGCAGGGCCCCAAATGAGGCCTCCCACAGGAGCTACATCCCAGCACAACAGTGCAGAGCCCAGCCAGGCCACATGGCTCCAGATTGTGGCTCACTTCAGCTTCTTAATCTGTGAACTGGGGCAAATACCACCCCATGGTTTTCTCCGTGTACTGAGTACAGTGAAGCAGCTCACCGACTTACCCTCCATTCAGAACAAAAAGCTAAAACAACCCCACATGACATCCTCCCTGTGCAAGAGGAAAGGGACAAAGGGGAAGTGTTTAGAATACGGGAAGCTCTGAGGTCTGGCTAAACTGCAGATGACACCCGGGCACTGTGGCTGACAGCTGTAATCCCAGCTATGCAGAGGTTGAGATCCAGAGGCTCGAAGTTCCAGGCCAGCCTGAGCAAAAAGCAAGACTAACAACAACAAAAAGAACTAGAGCAAAAGGGCTGGGGGCATGACACAATGGCTAAAGAAAGTGCCCAACAAGCACAAAGCCCAGACAAACTCCAGTGAAAAAAACCCAAAAAACTGCAGATTGGCTCAGTAGGTCCAATTCTCCCTGGGGTCCTGGGAGCTTCCACTCCCAGCTCGTGGTGTGTGTGTGTGTGTGTGTGTGTGTGTGTGTGTGTGTGTGTGTGTAACTACTTGACAACTAGCAATGTTCACTAGTTTTCGTGATATTCTTCCAGCCCTGCCTAGGGCTTCTTTTTGTTCTTTTTTTGTTTATTTTTGGCAATATACTGAAGTTTGAACTCCGAGCTTTCACTTGCTAGGCAGGCACTCTACCTGTCTAGGTTTTTTAAAGCGGTAAAAGTACAGAGGTTACCAACGTATAGATCGAGCTTGCTTGGTGAATCTTCACTCTTAACTTTTCCTGGGTGATGCTGCACAGGTGTGATAGGAGACATTCTGTATTCCTTTTGGACACAAGGTTTTGTTTAGCCTGGTATCAGTGTGCACACCTGGAGTCCCCATCTCCTTTGTGGCAAATTTCTGGATCTCTTTGAGTGCCTGAGGGGCAGTTCTTGACGTCTGCTGCCCAGGTGTACTTGTGGACGTTGATGGTGTCTGCTCTCTCCAGACACCTCCCTGTTGACGGTAGAATGGTCCTACTTCCTCTCGTCCACCTCTAGGGGAGCCATTCTGCTGGTCTATGTTGGAAAGCCCCTCCAGCTCTTCCCCTTTGCTATCTAATTGACTTTATTGAGGTAGAATTTGCATCCAATAACAAGTATCCATCCTAGCTGGGTGCCAGTGCTCACGCCTGTAAATCTCATCTACTTGGAAGGCTGAGATGTGGAGGATTGTGGTTTGAGGCCAGCCCAGGCAAATAGTTTCCAAGACCTCATCTCCAAAATAACCAGAGCAAAATGAACCAGAGGCATGGCTCAAGTAGTAGAGCTTCTGGTTAGCAAGCAGAAAGCTCCAAGTTCAAATCCCCATCCCACCAAAACTAAATAACTAGTATCCATCTTAATTGTACCGTTCAATATGTTCTAACAAATACACTTGAGTAACCGGTACCACAATCATGCCAACATTTCCAGTAGCCCTGGAAGTTCCTTGAACCCTTTCCCAGTCAGTATCTGACCCCAGGAAACGTGCCACGTTCTGTTTTATAAAAAAAATTCTAGGGGCTGGGATGTAGCTCAGTGATAGAGCACTTGCCTAGCATGTGTGAGGCCCTGGGTTCCATTCCCAGCGCCAAAAAGAAAAGACAAAAATTTTTAGCTAGGGTTGGTGGTTCACACCACCCAGCATTCAGGTGCTGAGGCAGGAGGATCAGAAGTTTGAGGTTAGCCTGTGCCACACTGCAAGCCCCACTCTTTAAAAAAAAAAAAAAAGGAGGAGGGACTGGCCAAGAGTCTCAGGTGGTAGAGCATCTGCCTAGCAAGTGTAAGGCCCTGAGTTCAAACCCCAGTGATGCCAAAAAAAAAAAAAAACCTGGAAAGGTCAAAAATTTTCTAATTACTTTCCAAAGTCTTAAACAAGGGTCTCGTGTGAAAATGTTTAATACCTAGGCTGTATAGAATTGGAAGTGAACATTCGGCTTTCATTCCCAGAAGACAATAATTGGCTACTCACTTCTAACAGCTGCCCGCCCACCCCTGCTTCCTCTACTTACCTTCCTGCTCTGCCCCCAAGACTTCTGTGACTGCTGCCCCTGGTACTGCAGGGGAGATATTCCCCATTCTTTTGTTCTTGTAAAACTCCTGTACCCCAAAGAATCCATGAATTCAGGTCCTCAGCGCTCCTCCACTACTGAAGCCTGATCTCCGGGTGCCCTCAGGTAGCAGGGACCCCCACCACAACCTGGATTCTCCAGCTGGTCTAGACCCAGAACATGGGTTAGGCACCACCTTCATCTGATTCTGCTCCTCAGCTCTACCAGGAGGCCAGCCTAGCCAGTGGCGTTGCAGCTCTGTCCTGCTAAGTCTTAATGCAAAGTGGGAGGGCTCGGGAGACCAGGAATGATAGACTCATTTGCATATGTGACCTAAGTCAGTAATTAAACCCAAGCACCCCAGGGGTGAGAAGCACATTAATTCAGAGCAATTAAAACCCTCAATGTCACCTCGCACAGCGACCCTGAGAGAGGCGCTAACCAATGACAGGCACCTTCAGGCTTCCTCATTTGGCCACCAGACAGCTGCCTCGATGCACCTTTTTAAGAAGGGCAGGCTCAGGCCTAAGGAGCTGCAGCTTCCCTGAGTCTCAGTCCTTGGGATAGATCACTGTGTAAGACAAGGTCAAGTGCTTTTCTTTAGCAGTGGTCAAATGTAGGTGATAAAATTTACCACTGGAGCCATTTTTAGGTGTGCAATTTGTAGGGGCTACATGCATCCAAACTGTTGTAACCATCACTGTTCTCTGTTTCCAGACCTTTTCCATCAACAACACATTCTCCCTTTCCAGCACCTGGCAAACTGTTCCACTTCCCGTCTCTCGAAGCCACCTGTTCCAGATATTTCATACAAGGACATCACACTGTCTGCCT